TAAACCAAGCCCCCTCTTTTGGGATGGTTTGCAGCAGTGGCCTGTCCTTGAGGCATTATTTGAACAGTTCAAAATGCTGTTATGTGAAATGGCTGTGAACAAATGAAAGAGGTATAATACTCAAGTGATCTATCTGGAGAGGAAGCCTGAGAGGCATCTGAAGGTAAGTGAGACCTCCTTTTCAAAGCCAGAGTCAGCTGTGTAAAGGATGGACAACTGAGCCTTGCCCAAACAGTGCTAACCTAGAAATTGTGGTTTCTGTCATCCTATTACTCTGCCATCACAGACCTAAAATGCTCAGAGTGGCTTGTCAATTCAATTAGTTCTGTTTTGGAAACCATATCCCTGTATCCAGCTTAAAATCCTGCATTCACAGCCCAGGTAACTGCCCAGGGCATCAATGTCAGGCTTCAGACACTGAACACCGCTGCTTTTTGTAAAGATAAGTTCCTAGACTGACACTGCCCATCGTCTGGTTTGGAAGTAGCACTCTGTGTACTCAGTACTGTTTGTGAGCAGCTGTTTGAGAGCCTCTGGCAGCTCTGAGGACCTCGTGGAGAGTGATGCATACTGTAGAGCATTGTTATGCTTAGGCTAACAGAGCAAACTTTACTGTCTATTCCTTAGTAGTATTTGTAGATCCTAATTAACCCTTTGGGGAGTCGGTGACATGGAGAAATGCAATTGGACATGAAGTGAAGGAACTAACCGTGCAGAGACGTATTGATTATGAAAAGAATCCCCAAAGGGTTAACCATGCAAAATCATTTTGTCATATTTTACTTTTTTATTTATTTTATTTTGTTTTATTTCGGTTTGTTTTATTTTATTTTATTTTGTTTTTTCCTGTTGACCTTTTTTTATTTTCTTTTTATTAATTTTTTTTTTTGTTTTGTTTTGTTTTGTTTTGTTTCCCCCCCATAAAATTTTTTTCTTTAGTTTTTTATACTTTCCTTCATATCATTTGTTCTGTCAGGTGTTCCCTGGCCATCGCCTTGCCCATCTCCTTCCTCTCGCCCACCTTCTCGCTACCAGTCAGGTCCCAACTCTCTTCCACCTCGGGCAGCCACCCCTACACGGCCGCCCTCCAGGCCCCCCTCGCGGCCCTCCAGGCCCCCGTCTCACCCCTCTGCTCATGGTTCTCCAGCTCCTGTCTCTACTATGCCTAAACGCATGTCTTCAGAAGGTACAATACCACAATTTGTTCATGGGTTTTGTTTTGTCTTTGTTTAACTCCTCCGTGAGGTTTTTAATGCCGAGATTTATTTTTTTTTTTAATTGTTTTTTTTTTTTTTTTTTTTCCTCTTCATTACTTAACCTTTATAATTTGTGTTTTAACTTTAGTTGATCAGACTATTTCTATTAACCTTTTTTATTTTCTTTTTTTTTTTTTTTCCCTGTTCGTTCGTTCGTTTCGTTTTCTGTTTAATCGGAAAAGCTTTACAAAAAACGAGAGGAAAAAGCTGTGAAATTGCCCTAGTTGGTGTGAAATTCAAACTCAGCTTTGGAAACGCTGCTCAGTGTCTTAACTTAACCAACAGCACCTGATAACTTTAGAGAGCACTTTTAGCACTATGAATCTGTATAAAATATTCATTTTAATACAGTTCCACAAAGGGGCAATGGGTACAAATGGAAAGGGAAAATTTAGGTCAGATCTTAGGCAGAAGTTTTCCCTGTGAGGGTGGTGAGACACTGGCCCAGGTTGCCCAGGGAGGCTGTGGCTGCCCCAACCCTGACAGTGTTTCAGTCCAGCTTGGATGAGCCTTGAGCAACCTGCTCTGGTGGGAGGTGTCCCTGCCCAGGGCAGGGGTTGGGGCTGGGTGATCCCTAAGCTCCATCCCAACCCCTAAAATTCTATGCAACTGCAGTTTCAAATTGAACTAAATTACTTGTAAAACAGCCAACAGGATGAATAATAGATGCTGTATGCAGAGAAGTGCACTCTGGAGTGGGATAGGCAGTTTTTAGGTCTGTCTGCAATGGTCAGAACAATAAATCAGCTCCCTGGCAGTCAATAAGATGCAGAGAAAGGCTGCGCCATGAGTCTTCGGTAACTGTGCAGAAGTAGCAACTAAATTTGTCCTCTGGGGGTACAGTAAGGAACATGGGTTATAGTTCTTATTGAAGTGCACTTAAATAAACTTTGTACAACACAGTGCAGCAAGCCTGGAAAACACAAACCTGCACTCCTGGAGACCTGCAGCTTGTGCTGTAGCTGTGTCCAGTGGAGTTCAGTGAAGCAGTATCACCCTTCTGCAGCTTGCCTGAGAAATGCCCAAGGTGCTCTGTAACCAAAAGTGGATGGAGGTCATGTCTGTCTGACCTGACTGTCCAGTTATTATGTTTTTTGAATCAGAATCCACACGTAAATTCGAATTTTTTGTAGCATTTGCGGTTGGTTTCTCAGGCATGCACTGAACTGCTGCTTACTGCAGTGTTTAATCCATTATAATCCTGGGGAATTATTGCTGGGAATTGTGTACTCCTTAAAACACCTGTATGTAATTTGGACTGAAGTGTACTTCAGATCCGTGGTTAAACTAGAGGCTGGCACGTAAAGATTTGTGTAACCACAGAAGGTACCTGATGCTCCAGAGCTCCATCTGAACCCAAAAGCCATTACCTGAACTTCTCCCTGCTGCTGACCTGCACTGAGCCTGAACTGCACTTAGCCAAATTGCCTCCTGCTCACACACACTTTGCCTTTTGAAGCATCCACATTTGAGTCTGATTTCCTAAAGAAAATGTTTGCTAGGATGTACAGACTGTATTGCTGCTTAGACTTGAGCACAGTTACTCTGTGGCAGCTGCACAAGCTGCTCAGAGTTCCTGTATCCATTCCTGACTTTGGCTTCTGGTGTTAAACATGCATGACTTGAACCTTGGGATAACAATCACTTGTTTAGCTGCAATTTTGCTGACTTGTAAATGAATTGTGACCTGCTGCAGGCGATTCAGCCTCTGCTGGAATTCCCCAAGAGCATTGGTCAGCCAGTGGTGACTACTCTGTAAATAAATGGTTGGGATCACTGACAACCTGACAAAAGCATTGGAAATCTTTCCTTTGCTGGAAAACGATAGCCTGGCACTGTGGCTGCCCACAAGGAGCTGGGCCACTAAGCTTTTGGGCTTGTCTTGCAGTATTGGATACTTGGATTCAAATCTGTTCAATCCAGAACTGTTTCAGTGCTGACAAAGCATCTGAATATCCATGAGTTATCCCAGCGAGGTGCTGAGTGTGGTGGCAGCCTGGCTGGACCAATGGCTTGGCCTTTGCAGTCTGGTGGATCCCTGGTTCTAGTCGATGTCAGTGTAAATTGCTTGACTTTATTACTGCTTTATTGAGAGTTAAATCAGCTTAAAATCCTGTTTTAAAGCCAGATAAGATGTTTGAGTATTCTCAGTGCTGGACAATAAGTACTTATTGTGTGGGGTTGTCTTCTTTTCCTCAGGGCCTCCACGGATGTCTCCTAAGGCACAACGGCACCCTCGAGGTCACAGAGTCTCTACTGGTAGGGGTACAATTTCAAGTGGCTTAGAATTTGTATCTCATAATGCACCTGGGGAAGCATCTACTGCTGCAGTGGCACGAGGCAGCCCTTCAGGTGGGACGTGGTCATCAGTTGTCAGTGGGGGTAGGTAAAGCTTGGCTTATTGCAGATGGCTTGCAGGGGTACTCTAGAGTGTGAATGCTCAGCTGAACCTGCACTTCTAGGCAGTTCAGGCTCTGAATCATCAAATCCTGGTCTAACTTGGCTTGGAAGTGGGAGAAGGATGTTGTCAGATAGTTTAGTCAAAGAGTCGGTGAGTTGGTCTTTCAAGGGCAATATTGTCCTAAGTGCAGAGAGGTGAAATCAGGTGCTGTAGGAAGAGAAGGGAAGGGAAAATGTGGGGATGAGCATTGAGAGAAGTAGTTTTCCAGGAAAGCTATTGGAGAAGTTACAAACATTGGTTAGTGGCAGTGTGACTGGGTCGTGGTCTCCAAATGAAGGAGGTGTTTGGATAGAGGAAGGTTGGTGTTAAAAGGTGGTGTTTAATTCAGGCTGGATGTATTTTTCCTGTAAGAATTACATGGATTTTACGTGGTCATGTTGTTCTTGTCTGCTGTAGGAGCAGCTGTAGTCAGTGTCTGGTTTTTTCCAGCCAGTTAATATCTCTTTTTTCAATATGTTGAAGCTCAGTCTGTGACACAGGCCCCAGTGTGGAGCTTTGAGTTGAGCCATGTGCTAGTGGGCTGGCAGCAGCTGGATGCTTCCTTGAGTCAGAGTGAGCAGCTCTTTGGTCCTTTTGGGTACTTTTTGGTGCTTTGAGCAGTGCAGAATGTAGGGGGAGTGCATTTTTCAGGAGGAAGGTATGAACTAGACCCACGTAGACCTGTTGCCTGGTGGAAAAGATTGAAACTTGTGTCATTATTTCTGATTTATCTTCCCTCCCCACCCTCCAATTCATGTATTGGTACATGTAAGACTGTTAAACCACTTACCTCTTCCTCCTCACTCACTCCTAGTTAGTATGTGATGTCAAGCACTAACTAGGCACAGTGGGATGAGCAGGAAGTACAACTGACTGTTTGAACAACATAAAACTTTCCTTGCTGCTTTAACACAGGAGCAAAACCATACCTCAAATCACCTTTTTTTCAATAGGCTGTGTTGTTTTTTTTCCAGCTGGCAAACCTCCAAAAGAGGACCCTGTAAAATGGATGTGTTTTTTCAGCCCTTTAAAAAACTGTTTTGCATCTCTCTGTGTGGAGACCTGAGCACCTTTTCTGTTCTGCCTGAAACTGGGTTAATGTGAGCTGTTGTAGTTGTACTACTTGGGGGGCTGGGGAGCATTCTGGTGGGACTGCAGGGTAGTGCTGTATATTAGGGGAGAATCTGCAGGAAAGTCACCTCACTTATCTGAAATGCTGCCTTGTAAAGAACTAGGAGATGTACCTGAAAGGTAAACAGGTTTTCAGTTACTCCATAAAGTATTTTAAAGCATGTTTGTAGCCATTTGAAAAATAAGCAAACTGCTGAGCAGAGGAGGAAGCTCATCCTATAACTCTTTTTTCCCTGTTTGTTTCTAGTTCCAAGATTATCTCCTAAAACACACAGGCCTAGGTCTCCAAGGCAGAGCAGCACTCCCGTGGGACCAGCTCTGCCTTCTCCTCAGCCTGGTACTATTCCCACTGAATCTGTTGCCATGCCTGTTCCAGCTGCCTCTCCTACACCTGCCAGCCCTGCATCCAACAGAGCAGTTACCCCTTCCAACGAAGGTAGGTTGCACTCACCAGATTGCAAATGTCCCTGACAAGGAATATTCCTATACAAGAGCAAAACTGCCTTCTGAATAATGGAGAAACTTGTGATGCGTTGAATTTTACTGTGAGTTCCCCTTTTCTCCTGGTGCCAGCTTTAAACTAAGGTTTTTGATAAATCTGTGAGCTTAATTTCCTCTACTTCTAAGGAGTGTGGGCTTCTAGGTGTCTTAGAGTATCTTAGTGTGTTCAGGGGTTGGGATGGAGCTCAGAGCTCACCCAGCCCCAGCCCCTGCCCTGGGCAGGGACACCTCCCACCAGAGCAGGTTGCTCAAGGCTCATCCAACCTGG